TGATGCCGTGATGGAATAACGAGCTCAAGCACGCCCCCGATGATTACAACACGTTTTTCCACACGTCTGTACGACTTTACCTACCCCTACGGCCCCTCATGGCCGAGATGCTCTACACTCCCATCACACACAACTGAGCCACCCGAATTATCGATCACGCTAGCGTATGACACGTCGTCTACGAGATTCGCGTCGAGCTTAGTTTGGAGTATCGCTTTGCGGCGATCAGCAGCTGTCACCGATGTCCCGCGCCGACCAAGAACGAGGCGCCCGTCACGCAGAAGACGAGGACGCCCGCATCAACGAGTTGGTGGAGATGAGGTTACAACAACGACTGGCCGACATGAGGCGGCAACAAGACGAGGAGGAGCAGAGGACAGGGAACGTCCGGACCGGAAGCGAGCACGAGGCACGCCACCAGCAACAAGCGGGGCGACCATCGGCGAACCCGGCCGTAGATGACATCGCCCGCACTCTTCTTGCCGACGCCCTGACCAGCCGTCTTCAGATATCACCCGCAGACACGGGGAGAGTACCAAGTAGCGCAGCGACCCTTAGAATGACTGAGGTTAAGCGCCTAGCGCCGTGGGATGGTATGTATAGGCAAGGGGAAGTGAGCAGGCAAGATTTTTAATTCTTCGATCGAACATGATGGCGAGTTTCGGCCCACGTTTTTTCACTTCTAGAATTAGAAATAACTTCTAGATTTAGAAGGAAGGGTCAATTTCTGGGAACCTTCCTCAAAGCGGGGGAACATTGAGCTCCTAAATCTGGAGTGTGGCTCTCAGATTTAGAAAAGAAGACCGCTGGCGCTGTTTTTTTATAAATCGAATTTGCTTTCAGGAGAGGAAATAGATTGAAGCTTCAGAGGAGGAGCAACGAGACCATCATCACTGTAACAACAACAGCAGCAGCAGCACAGCAGCAGCAGCAGTAGTAGAGGGAAGCCTGATGTAATCAAACTACAGCAGGTACCACGGAAGTGATGCTGTTGTGTGGACTCCATCGCTAGAGTCGTTGTCTTTCAAGCCTAGGAGCAAAAAAGACACGGTAGCTCGCCGGGGGTGGGTACCCTGTTTTTCTGCATGCCTTAGAGGTTAGACAATTGACCACGCGTCCTCGAGAGGATGGAGCATTGTTCCCATCCCACAGGACCGATCACCGATGGCCAATTGTTCTTTCCTACTTTGCCATAGGTGACTCACAAATCTCTGTCCTAGTCATCTATCCCATCGATATCGCTTCCCGCCTTTTCAACCCACTTCCTATGCCCCAGTACATACAGCGAATAACAGACTTGCGGGAAAAATGGGAACGTATCCAAAAATGAGAATTGGCGTTTTTCTTCAGAACCATCGGGTGTATCACAGAACCAAAATTATCCTGCGAAACCCCTTCGCCCCAGCTGTGAGATGAGTTCATCAGAACCGCCATGCTCCACATCACGCCTTCTCACGGGCGCAAAAAGCGATTCGTGCTGGTTTCGACCTGATTTCTCGCGATGCTGGCTACCTCGGCGATGCCGAGGACATACAGCTTGAGCAACAGCTCATTCGAAAGCTGCTGTAAAGACCTACAGCACTGTCAACTTTTTTGGGGGGAGTTGCAAAGGCGCCTTCTAAAAACAAACGCCCATTCTCATTTTTGGATACGTTCCCATTTTTCCCGTAAGTCTGTTGAATGTCTTCTGGTGGCTATCCCATGCCTCAAGCACCTCCGTGTACTTTTCTTCTACTATTCCAGGCTCCGTCATGTACACTTCCCTCTCCTTCTTTTACAGCCGACATTCCGCGACTACATCAACACGGTCTTAGCACTCGGAGCCGCAATCGCATTTGATCTTGGCGTCTTCATCGTCTACCTTCCGAAGTCGTTGGCTACGTTCTCGCAGGCCAATGTCCCCGGTCGTCCTGATTTTGACCTTCAGCTTTGTCCCTGCATCCATTGGTCCATGTAGGTACTCCTTGAACCCTATTCATTCTTTCAAATTTCCTATACGCACTTCTATGCCCTCCTTTTCCTTGGTTTCTTTTCTTAGATTCAGTTCTTCTCTCCGACAAAAGCAACAGATATTCTCTCCTTGAACCCTCCTAGATCCTCCGTATCCAGCGTATTATCGTCTTCATCAATTTCGAACCCTTTCCATACGACGACGTCACCTACAACCGTGACCCACTCTGTGGGTAGTCTACCCCTCTTCTTGTGATCCCACTTCGCCTCCTAGCTTATTCTCGGTAACCTCTCCTCTCCCATGCCGCGCATGCGATACTGCCATGTCAGCTTCCTTGCGTCTCGTCCCGATCGTAGAGGTTGGATCCCCAGTTCTGCGCTGACGGCTGAATTACTTGTGCGCTTGGAGCGTCCTAGGATGACTTTCGCTGCTTTCATCTGCGTTGCCTCGAGCTCTTTGAATACCTTCTTATTTCCTTTTCATACTCCTCCGGCGCACTCTAGCGGCGGTACGATTACCCTCTTCAAAACCGTCAACTTGATGCGTGTATCGAAGTGCCGGTCTGCGTGTAGTGTATTGGGTGCAGCTTCCCTGCTCGTGCTTTGCCGTCTTCCGCTACCTTCGACATGTGTGTATTCCATGAGCAGTCTTGTCCGATCTCAACTCCGAGGTATGTGTACTGGTCCACTACTGCAAGCTCCTCGACCCACCACTTCCCTCAATGTTCTACTGGTTCCTCCCTGTCGTCGTTGCATACGGTAGCTGGCCGGGAGTGGGCAAAAAACGTTTGTGAGCGTGGTGGCTTTATCAGGAGGACACGCACGTGAGTGTCCCTCCAGCATGTTGTTGGCCAATTTCTCGCTTCCTAAACAAAGGACGCACGTGCAATCGAAGGGCGTGACCCCCATACACCGGTCTCTTTCATTAAGGAGGAACATTGATGCTTTGATGAAATGCACGCAGCAGGGCATCTGTGCGTGCATATGCGGCAGAATATATGTTTGTCTATTTTCAAGTAGTATGAAAAATGGGAAGACAGACGACGCGGATTTTGCAAAGCTGAATATTTACCACGACAACGCCGTTATTTAAAGGAATCCCGCCCGACAGTGGCTTGCCTCCTAGATGTAGTAGATGTAGATTCTGCCGTAGACACTCTTGTCCACGAGCACGTTGAGATGGGAAGGTTGCTTGTTATTGCAGAAGAAGGGGTCTGCTACAGGTCTGAGGTGAGGCGGATTGCCCTCAACCTGGGGGCACGCAGATAGCTAAGTCCCGATGGGGTACGTCCTAAGAGGGTATACCTCCTGACGTCCCCCATCTTAATCTAGACCGACTGTGTACCCTATCTGTGCCATACAGCAACACTCCTTAACACTAGCCCACCCTGAAGATCATCTATACAGATTCTATACTCAAATCCTAGGGCTAGTAATAGCTGATGATTTAGGATCATGAATCGAAAGATATGACTCTTCACGAGTGTATCCAAAGGAAAGAGGAGCTGTAAGAATATCCCGACTCGACCCCCCACACCACCATTGAGACAAAAGGTGATTCCGATGACGCGGAAACACAACTAGTGGCAACTCAATGATAAGGTTATACCCATGGAGGGATATAGCTAGGCAAGATGTGCTGCAAAGCACCATGTTTTAACACAAAAAACAAAATAAATCAATATCAACGCCACACACCACTCTATTTCGCGCGCAAGCGCGTATTACGACTGGAGGAATGAGGGTGGCGACACAAGAGAGTCCAGAATTACTCCCGCAAAATTCAGTGGGACAGACAGGACGATGGGCTCACTACGGCTGAATGCGCTGACCACAAAAGGTAAGACTGAAGAACGTTCATGGCCAAAACGGAAGAGAGGCGTTAATTGCCACCCCAACCAAACTGCACAAAGAAACGTGGAGTCCAAACCATGTAAAACCAATGGCTGGACGAGGCACGAATGATCAAAGTCGAAAACTAATGCGACTAGCCACCCTATATCTCGCACAGACGGGCGATGATGAAACACAAACACACAACACATTAACAGAAAACACATAATAAACATGCATACAACACTAGAACTCGGGATCTCGACTATGATGATGTAGTCGACGCCAGGAAGTGACGATGGCGGAAAGAAGTCCAGTGAAGTGGGCGATGGCGAACGTCGATGAAGGCCTCAGGGGAAGGGGACGCAACGGAATAGAGGTCCGGAGCATGGGGCGTAGTCAACCCATCTCGTGATGACCAGGCTACAGAAACAAAGGTGGCAGTTGGAAACGACGGAACTTGGGGAACTCTTTTTCCAAGTATCCAGAGGCAAACGTCACCGACGAAACTTGGGGAACTCGTTGGCAAACAACAC